ATCCTTTGTTTTTTACTGTTATTTAAATATTTTTCAATAACAGAATCAATTAAAAAATAGTCATAAATGTAAAAATAATACAAAATAATTTGTTTAAAAATCTATTAATCTACAATTATATTACGAATATTAAACAATTTCGATCTGATATTTTAATAAATTGAAGTTTTCAATTCGAAATGTTACCAATGAGTAGAAAGATTTAAAAAAAAATGTATGTTAGTTTAAACATTTTAAAATATTAGTAAAGTAAATTAGAGAATGTATTTTACTAATATTTTAATTGATTGTTAATTAATTAAGAGGGAAATGTATATTGTTGTCTAAAAGCACGAAGTATAAATTCGTCGTACCATTCTCTTCGAAATCCACCGTTAGATTGGTTCGTTGTCCTCTATGAAAGTCAATTAAAATTCTAGTTGTTTATATATAACTTTCAAAAGAATAAATTTTATTTACTATGCGTATATTACTTTCTTCCTTATATATATGGTGTATTCCACGTCAAATCGATCACTTTTCATCCCGACTCCTTTTCGATTTGGCTGAAACTTTTTTTATCATATTCTACCCCATTGAAAACCTCTTTGAGAATTTTTTTTCTATTTTTTTTACCCAACGCACGAAAAGGTATGAATTATTCAAAAAAAAAAAAGGCTTTTTTTTCTTTCAAATAGCCGTACCTTTGCCAAAAATAGACTTGTCAGGACGTTTTTTTCTTTTTAAATGTACTTTTTGGTAAAAAACAATAAATATAAAAGAAATATTTGAAGTTAAATTCTTTAAGAAAATTCGTTTTCTTGGGAGAAGAAAAACCTCAAATTTTTCAAATTCTGATCCGTTTTATTTTTTATTTTTTTAATTACTTTTTCCTTTCCAACTTCGGTTCCTTCCAAATTTCGAGTTTCGTCTCATGAATGAAACAAACACCATATGCAACCATAACGTTGAAGTTTTCGTTTATTGAAAACTACAATAAAACTTTAGATTCGGTCAGACTCGTCATTGTATGTCAAGGAGTTAATCAAATTTTATCGGTACCATTCTTTACAAAATTTCCCTTCAAAAAATATTAAAAAAAAAAAAAATAATAATATTATCAATGGAAGAGGAAAAAAAAAGACATTGGATTTTGAGGAATTTAATCGAGTTATTGTAGCAACGATATTCGAACAAATTTGAAAATAATTCTAATAGACGAAATGATTTGAAATTCTGGATAAATTGAATTTAGAATTCGAGCAATGTAGGTAAAAAAAAAAGAGAAAGAGAGAGAGAGAGAGAGAGAGAGAGAGAGAGAGAGAGAGAGAGAGAGAGAGAAGGTGAAAATTGTTTGGAATTCGAACGTGAACGATAGACAAATTATGGATGAAAAGAGATGATCATTTTAGTTGCATCTCTTAAAGTGTATAATAATAATTCGGTAGTTACCATAATGAAGATCATCATTTGGGAATGGTGTAAACGTTAGCCGTTTGGACGGACGGGATTTAGAGTGGGTCATTATTTGCTCGGCGGACACATTTGTCAGACTAAAAGTACGATCTAACACAGACACACATACACATGTATAATACCAGGGAAATTATTGAGAACGATATGGTTGAATCGTAATAAACTTATGCGAATAGAGGAAGATAATCTTTCCCTTGACGTTGATCACTTTCACAAACGAAATATTATATACAACGTTTTAAAACGTATTTTAAATTATGTACATCGATAGATAGAAAGAAAGAAAGAAAGAAAGAGAGAGAGAGAGAGAGAGAGAGAGAGAGAGAGAGAGAGAGATTCTTATTTTTATATTTACTTATTATATTATATA